ACAGAAAGCTGCTTGCAAAGAGATAATTTCATTCAGCCTAGCCCTTGCTGGATGTGAAAGGAAGTCCTTGGAGGTGACTCTCCAATGTATCCAGTATGCCACCTAGCCCTCGCTAGCTCTACTACATCCACTGCTGCAGAATGGGCTGATGGATCCTGCTGGAAAGGGGCTCACAGCACGAAGCTCCAAACACTTGTTGGGGTTATCATTGCAAGCAAGAAGGCACTGTCCAAAGGAAGAACAAATATCTTGGGAAGAAATCACGTTTTACTTTTGACACTCAACGCAGCCTCCATGCAAAGTGAAATATTGTGTTGATATCTGCACCTCCTGCTGTTGCTCATCTCTCCTCTCTGCACTTCTGTCTCAGACTTGTCCCATCAGTTCCGCTTTTGTTGCTTGTCATTTTCCCCTCTAAGAATTGAAGTATTGGCTTTTTTTTCGAAACGATGCTTCAGGCACCTGATTTCACAACTGTTTGGTGGGTTTTAATACTTGCTCATGAAAAAAAAATTATACATTCTCCTGTAAATGCATTATTTGTGTTTCAGATGTACAAAAACCGGACCGTGGTTTTGAAGGGAGAAGAAAAAAAAATCTCACTCTTGTATCTGTGATTCAGCTCCTAATCTTCTTAGATTGACTGGACTTTTTTGATGTTCTAAGTGCCTCCAAAACACAGATTAGCCTAAACTGATAAAAGTATGTATTCCATCCTCTTTATCGTACCCAGGAAAGTCAGTGCTTTTGCACATTATAGAGAGTATCATAATGAAGTGTGACATATCTGAGATGTTAAGAACAGTAACTGCTTTCCAAATAATTATTTCTCTTTTGCAGCAGAGCCATATGTAACACATAGAGCCTACAGCAATGAAATACACTAGAAGACACTAATAAAAACCTTGGTTTCCTCTGAACGCTCTCTGTTCACTCCCTCGAAACAAGAAGGCATGTCTTATAAACATAAAACATGATTGTGATCTCCACTGGAAGAGCACAAGTCAGGAGAAATGTGATCTTTGTTAGCTGCAGGCTCTCCTACAGCTCACGATCAGCCATACGCTGCACACTGTTCCGTGGCTGTCTTATGTTCCCAGGGGAGGGGGGGGGGGGGTTGGCATCAGCAAAAAATGCCACAAAAATAGGGAGCATGAAGAGCACACACCAGGGGGTCACCTGCAGTTGAGCCCAGTTGAGCCCAGTGCTGGGCTCAGTGGTTCAACACAGGTGATGCCCAAAGATGCCACGGCTGAGACTACTTTCATAAAATGGGAGAAAATCTTCCATCAAGGCACATCTCATGGCTAAAATCTTGTACTCTTCTGGCTGAGGATATGACTCATTTTCCAGGTAAGCTTTTGTGGATGAATGTCCTCACAGCACAGCCTAGGAATAAAATGAGGGTGGCTGCAAGACAACTTCACACAACCCAGATCTTGGCCTGAAAGCTGGAGAGAAAGTTCCCGGACAGCCCTAAATTAGAGCAGCTTTCCCCGGGATCCCTCACAGGATCTCTGCCCCATGGCAATCCAGCCGTGCCCAAGCCTTCCATGCCAGGGCTTGCAGCTGGGCTTGATGGAGGCAGTTCTCTACATGCCTCACCATTTTGCGTCTCACAGGTTGGAGTGGGAGTGAAACCTCTCCTCCACCCCTCTGATACTCTTGCTGTCTCTGTACCAGGTATTAATCTGGGGCACACAGGGTGGTGGAGAGAATGAGGAAAGCAAATTCTCTCCTGCCCTAAGCTCTCGCACAAAATGCATCCAGACCTCCAGGTGAACAGTGATCACTCTGCCTGGTGCTATTTTCTGCAAAGCACCCATTCAGACCAGTGGCAGATTCTCATAAAAACCAGAGGCAGGATGCAATTAATATGCTGTAAAAGTCCTAAGTGTCAACTAGAGAAACCATTTTAAAACACTTACAGAAAAAATCCCTGGGGGGTGCTTTTCTTACGTTAAAGGTGCCTATTTTTTTGCAGTTAACTGTGATCTAAGCAGAGATTCAGTTAGTATTAAATAAAATCTCTGGAAAAACTCTTGGTAGAAAGAAAAACAAAAAACCACACAACCAAGCTTAGAAATGTGGCCTTCCTTTTTGAAGGGCAAGGGGTAAGAACAGGAAGAATTTGATCTTTACTACTGCATCCGCATGGTAAAACAAGGAACACCTGAGAGGTGCAACAAAAGCCTTAAGCATGGAAATTTTGGAGAAGAAGGAGTTAATGCTTTTAAGCAACCATCCGTTCTCTTACCATAGATAAGGGTGCATTCTAGTGGCAAAATCCATGCAATGCAGCTGCACAGATGACTGATCTAAAAAGAAACCTGGGGAATATGAAGCTTTGGAGGAGTGTGTGCCTATGTGGAAGGGGGCTTGACTTGAATCACACGTAAACCTCACCCAGAACAGGCTGATCCCTTTGAATTTGCCACTGCCCTGGTAGATGCCCCTGTGCTTGTGCTTCTGAGCAGACTCCCACCCTTGGCTCAGCTAGGTTCAGCTCATACCCCTGCTCCAGGTGTAACCCCTGAGCACAGCTGCCAGGGCAGCCGCGGGCTGCACACCCCAGTGCTGGTAATTCCCTTCCCCACGCTTCCAGCTTCTCCGCTCCTAGCGATGAATGACAACTGAGAGGCAAGTGAGAGGGACTAGGGCCGAGAGAACTGTAACCCTGAGGAATGCAGCGGTGGTGGAACAAAAGACAACAAACCCCAAGCTGCCCAGGATAGGGGATGAGCACTGCAAAGTGCTTTTTTTGTTGTTGTCGTTTCTTTCTTTCTTCTTCCTCCCCATTTTGTGCAGGGCAAGAGGCAGAAGAAGAATGAGCTAAAACGTGCAAATTGGACTTCACATGGCAAAATTCCCCTTGTTTTCTGGTATGCCCTAAGCAACAGCGAACTTTTCCAAAGAGGAATCTAACACAGTTCTTATAAGCAACCCAGCCCTCCCTGTTGCTCACTGTCCGGCCGCGTTAACCCTTGCTGATTGGGGGTGTCAGGGGCGCACCCTAGCACTGGGCAAAGCCTCACTGCGTTTTTAAACCTAGCCCAGGGGCAGAGGGACAGGAGAGGAGAGCCGGGCACCCTGCACACACAAAGGCTCCTTCCTGGACCCGAGAGTAGCACCCTGGCAGGCACCCAGCCATCTCCTCTTGCGCTCACCTTTGGAGCTGGTGAGTGCTGGGCACATCGGCTCCTCCTCCGAGGGTCCCCAGCCTTCCAGCTACCCAGGTAGCAGATCGGGGTCCTTGCCCCAGCAGCACAAGGGACAGCACACAGGATCAGGCCCTGCTAACTCAATTCTCTACTTCCTCCCCAAACTCAGAGCCCTGACCTCTTCCATCCAGACTCCCTGCAGCCCAGGCTGCCCTGCAACCCAATGGCAACCACTTTGCTTTTTTTTTTTTCCTTTAACCCGTGAAGGTCTGAACTT